GCTTCATGACAGCCTTGTCGATCTATGTTATATATGTTCATGCCATTATCTGTCATTGTTAGTTGTTCATGATTCATGTCTATCATTTATGTTGATCTCGTCAGCCGTTATAGATAATAAGAAAGGTTAGATAAAATGTATGTTGGTGCTCAGCAGGTATGGCCTGGGTGCCAGTCATGGCCCTCCATTTTGGGTCGTGACAGTTGTGGTGTGCGCAAGTGCAGATGATAGCATTCTGGGTGATCCTGAATTATATTAGTTGATCCACTGTGGGTAATTTCAGCTAATTCCCCATTTGTTAAGTGAACCGAACCACCTTTACTTAATGAACTTGCATTGTGCAGTAAATCCAATCTTGGAGTCATATGATTGGATGCTCCATATCTATAATCCAAACACCTTGATTCAAACAAGTCATTAAGGATGTAATAGTATCTGTTTCCAGCTCTGCTGCATTAGCTGCAACTTTTGTGGGCTTGCTGTTGAGCAATTACAGAATTTGTTGGTATTGTTATGGTGTGAAAGTTGGTGCAGTGGGAGTGGAAGTGAAGGTTGCTGGTGTAGGCTGTTCAGTCACCAAATTAGTTGTTCCTTGAGAGTTGTATTTCTTCTTGAACTTATAATCATTTGGAGATCCTACTAGCTTGTAGCATGTATCCCTAATATGACCTTTTTAATTTGCAGTAATCACAGTAGAGATTATAGTTCTTCTTTGGCTGATTTCCAACCCTAATTGTCAACAAGGCAGCCATTTCACCAGCATCTAGATTAGCAGAAGCATCTGCCATAGTCTTTTCGCTTTCACATTCCATTAGCATAGAATACGCCTTATTCACTGATGGTACTGGGACCATCATCAAGAGCTGACTCTGAGCCTGTTAGTATGACTCATTTAGCCCCATCAGAAACTGTAGAAGCTTTTGGCGCTCCATAAACTGAACGAATTCACGAGATTTGGCACAGTCATAGCCAAGAATTGGTGCCAAACTATAAAATTCTGCCCAAGGCACTCTCAATTTTGAGAAGTAAGTTGAAATTAAGCTAGTGCCCTGACTAGCAAAAGTAATTTCTTTGTGGATCTGAAAACTCCTAGAACAATCCACCTTATCAAAACGCTCTTTCAAATCATCCCATATCGCACTAGCATTTGAGGAATACACCATTCCACTTAGTAATTTCGGTGAAACACAGTTCATCAACCAAGATAGTACAATCGCATTACAACATTCCCAGAGGTCAACGAGATTTATACCGTAATTCTCCTTTTTGCATGTGTCGTCTATGAAACCTAGCTTGTTTCGACTTAGGATTACAATCCTCATCGCTCGGATCCATACGGAGTAATTGTTTGGTCCTCTCAATTGTAACAAAATCAATATAGCTCCTGAATTATCATTTAAATTCAGGAAGAGCGGATGATTGAGACTTAGTTTCTACGGTTCGGTGTTATCGACTATCGCCATTGACGATCTTCCTTCCAAGCTTCGAGAAAGTAAAAATTGAAGACAATAGGACCATATTAATGGACGTGTGGCTCTGATACCATATTGAATTCAGTTATCCATGGAGCTCTGTCATGGTGATTGAGCTGAATTACTCTGTTAGCGGGAGAAGAAGGAGGTCGCAGAGAATAAATCTTAGGGAATATTCTAGAAGAGGAGATATTGTAATATTTCACTCTAAATGTAAAATGTATCTGTACATGTGTATATATAATGTGGGAAAACTAATCTAACTGTAGTTAGTACTAAAGTTAACTCTAGTTACTCTAACTCTAGTATAGTGTAAGTTAGTTATAACTAACTAATGGATAACTAACAAAACTAACCACCACTAGCACTACAGGTCCACATCTATTCTTCAATCTTATATTTGCCTCTGGTCACTGGTGAACATATCGTGTATGTTACAGTAGAAAATAATTTTTTTCTCGAGAGAGACTAGAAGTATATAATAAGGATAAAATGGAAGGAATTGTTCGTTTTCGTTGTTATTAGCATACATAAACTTCTTGACACTCAAAATTTGATGTTTGGTTAGTTTAGAAGAATATTTTTGACTGGCTCAACTCTCATTGAAAAATTATGGGACTTTTACAGGACTACCAGGTGATGTAAACAATTAGCCACTTATATACGTTTAGAGAATTCGTCCATTAATAAATTACATAACACAATTTTATTCAATTCACATAATTATACTCTGAAGGTGTACAATAGTAAAAAATAGTTGAATCACATTGTTATATACTATTAAGGTATACAACATGTGAATTGTATACTGCAAAACTATAGAACATACGTATTTTTTGGGTATTTTGTAAAAAGTTTTCTGGGTATGAATTGTAATACTTTTTAAAACAGATACTTTCGGATAATTAATTATTTTATCCTGAAAATTTAAACGAAAATTTTTAATTTTAGGACAATTCAGGACATTTATGTCCCAAAAAAGGTGAACTGAAAAACTAAAATTCATTACAGATTGACTAATTCCTAAATAGTAGCCTTTTAGAGTGGCTACCTGGTGTCATTTCTACTAACTTCTTGGACTACTTCAATGAATATGAAGCTTGGGCCATTGGGGCTTCAAGCTTTGGGCAGAAAAGGAAAAGGAGCACACCTAACAAGTGCACAGGACCCTTTTGTACAAGGCTCTAGATCTCCTATATGAACTGTTGCCAATACCAAATGTATTTTTTATTTATTTTTGGTTTCTTTTTTTTCTTTGGTCAAATGGTAAAAATAGTTACACTCTGCTGGAAAACAACACCATCAGACATTAGTAGAGGTAACACCTCATTTGAATTGGGCAAAATACAAACCCTGCAAATCAAAGCATTCGAATCTAAAACAGTTTGATCCACATTATTTTCACCTAGTTTGTTCAACTTACTATGTTAATAGAATAAAAGAGTACAACTTTTTTCTATGTTAATATTCCTCCCAATTTTTTTTATTTTCTTTTTCAGATTCTGACACCATATTGAGCAAACATCAAACAGTTCTAATAGTTCTGTAAAAAAAACTAAAGGCTAACAATACCATACTCACTAACAAAACTATTCTGAGGATAATAAGTTAATAACCTATAGTCTTGCTCTTCTATTTATAAAGTTCATGGGTTCAGTGAAATATAATATATATCTTCTCATTAGGTTAACACTCCTCAATCTATGATCATTTTATTGATATTGTTCAATTTGTTTAGCTTCACTTTAAATGCTATAAAAGGATCCGTTTTCGTAAAGTTAAAACTTGTGACATGATTTCCAGAATTACCCCAATGCATGATCAGAACTAAGCAATTCAATTTACGAACTAGTGATCGATGAACACTCTTTCCTCAAATTCTACTCCCCTCTGTCTTCATCTTTATTGTTAAGATGATAGTGAAGGATTTAAACTTCCTAGAAAATGAATGCAGTCCATCTTTTTTTTAACATCTTCAAATTTTGAAATTTAATGATGATGCACAGTGTTTTATTGATTTTTTTCCTTGATAAAATGGTAACTCAACTAAATAACCATAGATGTAAAAAAAAAAAAAAAAAAAAAAAAAAAAAAAAAAAAAAAAAAAAAAAAAAAACATAGGTGTTCAAATTTGTTTTAACATACTACTAGAATCAACAATCTATTAAGGAACTCAATATTATAAGATTCCGCCAAGTTTTACAAATTCTCGAGTCCTTACTCCATCCCTCACAGGTTGATTGGATATTCGATGTATCTAATAGATTGTATCGCTTGATGTAGTTTAATAATAATTTGTTTCTTTGATTTAATTGTATAGTTTCAAGAACTAAAAACTAATTGTTCGGAAAAATTAAACTCAAGTACTTTCCTCAAATTGTGGAAGTACCAAAAACAAAAAACTGTGGAAGTACCAAAAACTAATTGGAATTATCCACAAGTACTTTCGGAAAAATCCAAAAGTACTCGAGAGTCGAGTGGGTTAGTTAGCAATCCCAAAGGCTATGCATTTTACTCTTTTCTCTGTTTCTCCTTTCGAACTTGGTTAATAGACGAAGTAAAAGATGCATAAACGAAGTAGAGCCGAATATGGTGTAGATTTATTTTACATAAATTGTCCATGGACAAGATAAGAATCACGTTTTTTTTCCTGCTAAAGCACGGAGTTGTAAGTCTTTGGAGTTTAGTTTGCTGTATAGGCAAACATTTCTTGCCCCCTCTCTATACATCTTCTCACATGTCTTTAAAATTTATGACATTTAACGAACAAAAGAGTGGTGCTTAATATCTTCTGTTACATTGATGGAAGACTCCTAGGGAGCTTATAGATTAAAAGTTCCATAGTGGATGTACTGCTGGCCTACTCGGTGTATGGATATTTTCTTCTTTTTTGTGATTTGTGACAAGAATAGGCTCCTCTGGAACTCGAGTCAATCTATTGTCTCTGAGCTGTGGGTATCCCGGAAACAGCTTCTCTATCCCCTTTGAGGTAGGGGTAAGGTCTGCGTACACTCTACACTCTCCGGACCCCACTGGTGGAATTTTATTGTTGTTGATTTAATTGTATAGTATCAAATAACTTTACTAATACCCTAATTACTACAAGTATTAAATTTAACAACAATTACAAAATAATTTAAGACATCTCAATTTCTTAATTTATCACCAATTATGCCTCGTAAATATTTTAAGATATTAAATTCACCAAAATCCTAACGAAATTAATCAAAGACACAATGGTTTTGGTGGTCTTAGCATAAAAAAGGTAGGTGAGAATGCTAAAAGGGATAAATTGAAAAATGAAGCGGCAAACAAACTAGATGTCTAACATAGATTCGTATATTTAGATGTTATTTTGGTAATTTGATTGCGCGAGCAAATTCGTATTATGTTATTACACTTGTGTGCATGTTTGGTTTGGAGCCCAAGGTAAGGTGAAGTTAAATAAAAAAATAGAACTATGAAATAATAAGTAACATAACTGGGGAAAAAAAAAAAGTAACAATCGAATCACACCAAATGAGTATGTTACATAAAATGGGTCTTTTCGTTATTACATACCAACGAATTTAACAATACAATAAAATTTTAGTCCAAATATGTACAGATTAACGAGAAATCATATATAATGTCTTCACCAACTAGTATACATGACATATTCACATGCTTGCTTACCAAACACTAGAAAATACGAGAGAAACTCGCTCATTTTCCCATAGGAAATATTTTTTTGAAGATGTTTTTGTTCATACCAAACACACCCTACATGGCTACATCCCTTCAGGAAATGGGATGGATTCACAGCAATGGTAATAGCCATTGTCACCATACACAAACCTTTGTGAAAGATGAGCTTCACGTAAAAGACACTCTCCCCATTCTTCCGAGCCATACTGACCAAAAATTGCTCGTGCATCAAAGGAATCAGCATTTCCTGATCTATTTTTGCTACCAATTAGAGAACAGTAAGTCAGTGGCAACCATAACAACAAAGAGAGTTATGCAACCGGTAGCATCATGCTAGAGACTTAAAGCCGACTAATAAACAAGACTATGCAATGAAAGAATTAAAAATGGCACCTTCTGCTGTGTCGCGCATTCATTATAGTGGCATGTAACTGTATTAGGAAGGGCAGAAAAGGCTTATCAGGAACTTTTCAAAACATGAAAATAGCCACACAAAAAAAAAATATTAATTTTAGTAATTTTTATCACGACAATTTCATGGATAAGCTATACAAGCATTCTGGTATCAAATCTAAAAAGGAAAAAGGCCACCAGAGACTATAGAATACATCTAGAAAAGAAACTGTATCAAGTGCAAGTCTAAAAACAGTTTTAGGGGGACAAGCATTTCTCGAAAGTAACCATAAAAGTGAAAATATTATTCAATAAGATGATGAATAATGTTCACGTATTTAATACTTGATGCTAGAGCAGAAAAAGAAATGCACACCACAAGAATGCACCAGCAAGCAAAATGCAACTGAAGAAACAAGTTCCAGGCATATAAAGTTGGAATGCAGGAGGTGAGAAATGAGTTACGGTTCGAGAGTTCTTAATTCGAAGAGGTGTCAGAATTAAAATGGATGTAGCCATATTGACTCTTTATGGTGAATGAACTGCTTCCATTTCCAAAATAGGGTTTCTGGCTGTATTAAGAGATTCTCTACCAGGTGCCTTATGCTTTTAGGCCCTTTTTTTTTTTTTTTTTTTTGATAGCCTAGAAACCCCAGATCCAGTGGCACAAGGTTCGATTCTCGGTAGATAATGAGCACACTCCTCTACCCTTCTCTACTTAAAAATCAGGCTTTTGTACCGCTAGACCACAGCCCTGTGGGGGCGCTTTACCATTTCTTGTTATGAATAAATTGTTTTTATGAGAAAAGAAAGTGTAGGGTCCGTGGGGGAAGGAAAAACAAGGAAGAAGAAGCACTAGATTGAATGGTCAAAGTATTTGAACACAGCATCAACAGAAATAGAGTCCTAATGGACAAACAAAAAAGGCACTGCCAACCAAATTAACCAGAATACAGAATTAACACCTTGAAAGCTATACCTTTAACTTCCGGTTTGCATCTTTTTCAAGAACAAGACCAGCTTCAGTGAACGCATCAATGATGACCTCTAGAAAGGCTAAGGAATGACAAATGCAGGTAGTAAATTCCGTTAGAAATGACAAATGCAGAGAAATGAAAATTAGTGGGTACAGTGAGGGAAGAAGATGCCAGAAATTGTGGATACGACAAGCACGTAAAAGTAGGGCTTAACCACCAATTACTTCCACAGGAGCATATACAACATAAGCTTTTGCCGGAGACCCTCTCATGCACTCCTGCAGGGTAAGAACAAATCTGAGTTCCGGCCAAGAAAAATTGAGACCTTGTGAAATCTCATTAGAAGCGACAGCCCAGAAACATCCAGCATCTAAAATCTATATGATATGTAGTCTCTCACTCTCACTATCTCTGACACACACATACACAGACCAACAATTGAAGAAGCAAAAAGAAAAAGAGATTGGTGTCACATGAAAAGGAAAATGAATTCTCCAGTTACAATATAAGTGGGTCAACATCACTACCAATGGCACAGTTGAAGGCTCTATACACATTTACCAATTGTTTGGTTCGGAGTTTAAAAATTACAGAAGTCTATTTACTAATTCACATTTCCACTCACATGCGTTGTCTTTTTTTTTTTGTAATACTTTTAACTTTTAAGCACCCTCCACTTCCAACCAAGAGGTTGTGAGTTCGAGTCACCCCAAGAGCATGGTGGGGAGGTCTTGGAGGGAGGGAGCCGAGGGTCTATCGGAAACAGCCTCTCTACCCAGGGTAGGGGTAAGGTCTGCGTACACACTACCCTCCCCAGACCCCACTAGTGTGATTATACTGGGTTGTTGTTGTTGTTGTACTTTTAACTTTTAAGCATATAAACTCAAGGCAGGCCTGATCTATGTTTCTTCATCAATTCGTACTGTTTCGCTACAAAATATTAACTGTAATATCACTACTAATTCTTGTATCCTGTTTGGAGAGGTTTTCTTTCTTGTTTTAGTGTTTCCCCAAGCCATTAACTTATTAGCCCATGAGAGAAAATCATCAAACCACAAGAAAATATTTTAAACTAGCAAACTGCTATAGCACAACAAATAGACATCAGAATCCATAAAATAAAATCTGAGTGGACCATATGCATATCTGAGGTAAACACATACTGCAAGCCCGGCAATTACTCTCCAAAAAGGAAAAAGCCAAAGAAAAAGTCACTAGCGAAGTACAACTAAATTGATTAAGTTAACTCGTGTTATTTTACTTTGCACAACAAAATATTGAAATTTTGTGGTGCATGGCAAAATTACATCACATTCAACACATGTATAGTTATAAAAGGGAAAAAGGAACAAACACGTCAGGTGGCAACTTAAATTTATTCGAACCTTATAGATGGACATTTCAAGTATCTCTAGTATGAGATCTATCATTTTGTTTTTGAAGTAAAAGATAAAGTGCAAGTTAAATTCAGACAATATTTAATACTGAAAAAACAAAATATAGATGATCTTCATGCATATGAACCTAAACAATGTAAAAACATTAGTTTCTGTAATACAATATGAAAATTTCCAATTTGACAGTTGCAATAATCTTAGGCTCAAGATGCTAAAAGTTGTGAATACTGAAAGGTGACTTGCTCTTAGATGTCTTCCTTCAATGTTCATTCGAGAAGTTTGAGCCGAGGAGTGATCCTTTCCTACTTTGCTCTTTTGGTGACTTAAACCAACAATCTTACGGTAGGTGGAGATTCCTCACCACTAGTCTATCCATCCATTGTTTCCTTTCACTCCTCTCTTACTTTGTTCAATGAATCCTAGATCCTTTGCTGCATCAAGATAGCCATTAATAGTGAAGTGCATTTGCTACAGCAAGAAAACCATTAATCACCTTCTGCTCAATCTACAACATCTTTCCATGTTTCTTCGTTATTGGACTCTACTTACATGAGATGGGATGAGTAGTGGCAGACGGTGTTTTGATCATTTTTCTTACGGAAAAGGGCCAAAACTACCCCTATTGCTTGGTAAATGGTCTGAAATTACCCTCCATCCATCTTTTGGTCCATAAATACACACGATGTTATTTCTAGGCTTAAAATTACCCCTCCCGGTAATGGTGCAATATGTGTGGACCCATTTAATGCGTTGGCAACATATTAATAGGCCACGTGGCTATTTATTGTAGTCATTACATCCGGGTGTAATATACCCGCCCCATTATTTAACCCGCCCCAATAATAGGTTATCCACTTCTTGTGCGTTAACCTATACCTTTTTATGCAGACGATTAGCAACAGATGATTCACCCAAAGATTGATTGCAAGCAGATAAGCAAATACGAACTCCACGGATAAATTTCAAAGGAAAGGGTTATGATGCCAGTTAAATTGTCAGAACTAAACCAGCTGTGTACACAAAAAAATTAGCTTCAATAAGTAGATGATATAACTTACGCGGATAAGAATTAACATGTAATGGTTATCAACTATAGCAGCCTGAAGTGCATAATTGTATAACTTGGATAAATACTTACCAAACCCTTCAGTCTTATAGACACAGGTCGGCTCTCCAAAGCATCAAGTACTTTTGGTGAGACACTCTGGTTTATATTGAGAAGTTAGACAGAGAAAAAGATATTACAAAGGGACAAAATAGCCATTCAAGTAGAAATGTTTACCTGCAAAACCTGAGCAGCTGCTTCAAAACGGTCCTTATTCCAAAGCTTCAGCATGAGCACAGTCAAGTGGAATGTTTTTGGGTTAATAAAGATGGACTTCTCAATTCCCAACTCTGTTTGAGTGGAAAACATTGGTGAATTTTGTCAGAGATTAAGAACTAGAAGCACCGAGTCCCCATGCTAGGTTGAAAGATGGGGATAGATATTATAATAAACATAAGGAAATGAAGAGAGAACAATTTTCATCTTTTACAACAACATTAGTACATGAATCCTTTTTCTCTCTTCATCTTTTAATCAAGGCAGAATACCTAATAACCCATAAACTTGGCACGAATTATTAGTAGCACATCTGAACTATTCGTAATCTTAATTACTCCTCGACTTAGCTATTTGATAGTCCTTATCCCCTAAGATGCTGACATGGCAAAGAGCTTAGGTGCATGCAAGTGACGAGAAATTGAAGAATCAGCTAGAGGTGGGGTATTTTCCACCCGTTACTTGACAGTCATATACAATGGTTTATTTATTCCAATTGTTTACTTCCCCTAAGATGCTGACATGCAAAGAGCGTAGCAAGAGCATGTATGTCACTTCCTGGAGATGAGATCATTCAGGGGTTAGATGCTGTCAAATATCCAAGTGCATAGGGTAATTAATACTATGTGCAACTAATAACCCATGCCAAGTTTACGGGGATTTTAGCTAACCTGTCCTTAAGAAAAGTAACACAGTACGTAGATCTTATACCTAATAGTTCGAAGCCTTTGATTCTGAGGTAGGGGACTTGGACACTTCAGTAATTCCAAGAACTGAGTTCTGAAAGTTGATGAGTTTGTTTACCAGTTCAGGATATATGGCTAATGGAAGCGATACAAAGTGAGAGTAGTCCGGATTTTGGCTTTCAACTGCCTACAGGAAACAAAGAGGCACAAATAAGACTTGGAGGACTAACTCAACTTTAATCCTGAAAGAATTCCTCGACAAAAAACAGAAGTCAAATAAAGTGGCCTTATTTAGACGTAATGCTATATTTTAAACAAATTACTGGTTAAAATATGGCTGTTTAGTAAAAAATTTATCCTTAATAGAATCAATGGAAGCAAAAATAGACAGAAAAGCCTTAGTAAAGACTCTGTTGATTAATAACTTTGCAGCACTGAATGTTCAAGCAGAAATGAGATCAATTATAAGAGATATAAGAGCAATTCAGGCAGCGTAGACATGAGATTATTCCTAACTGCAAAGCGATGACCTATAAATCAGTATATGCACTTTCAATAAATTAGGCGTCTGGGCATATGCTTCTGCTGCGGTGCTGCCACAGATCCTACTTCCGGGTGCAGTTTTCTACATAAAAAAGTACTACGAACTATAAAATCCAGATGAAAAGATGCAAAGAATTCACTCCAAAACCTATCCCCTCCTATGAACGCCGCAGCTCTTGTATTCTTATGAAAAGGGAACCCTAATTATTTATCGACTACTCTTGGTTGGGTAGGATGGTCTAATTCCATTTACCGAAAAAGAAAATGGGCCCGAATGATCAACGAACATAATATATACCATTTTTTTCACAGGCTGTCGATCCATTTGATGGATTGGACCTATAAAAGCAGAACAGTGAAGATCAGCATCACAAATCCAATGTAAAATAAAACATTTAGGAGCCATATTCAAAAGAATCCAAACATAAAATAGAAGCACGGTCTGGACCAAAAAATACTGTTTGCAATAGGCACTCCTAAACCTCAAACTATGCCGACACAGGATCAAGGTCATGGAGAACAACAGAGAAATGATCAAATGGATACTTATAAAGAGTCGAAAACTTTCAAACGCCACGTATAAAGGAACTTCAGATCAAGTTGATTTAAAATTCTTGTACTTATGCAGACATAAAATGAAAAAACAACCATGTAAGGGTATGAGTTAATACCAGAAGACTGAGAAGGACTAGAGCCTGAAGGTGCACCCCTAGAACGAACATTTGATGCTCCTGATCTACTCGGTTCTACATCCCGTTGCAGCTGGTTTCCACAGCCGCCGCCACCACCATGTTGCTGAGGCTGCTGTGGCGGTGCCCGTATCCAAGCAGTACCACTGCCGCTACTAACATCTTGTTGTCGCTGCTTCGGTGGTGGTCGCGTCCAAGCAGTACCACCGCCACTACTACCATGTTGCTGTGGCTGCTGCTGCGGTGGTGGCCGGGGCCAAGCAGTACCACCGCCACCACGACTGACCCAAGCAGTACCACCACGACCCGGATTCTGACCAGCTGTAAGGTGCTGACCCGTACCCTGCTGATTATAAGGAGCCCCACGACCCTGATATTGACCCGGACCAGATGCCCTTGGCTGGTTATCCCATTGTTGCGGAAGCTGAAATGGTGGCTGCTGATTGTATGAACCCATCTGGGACCCACCCCTTCCGCCTCCACGGCCTTGCTCCTGTTCGGAGTTACCACCACCACGGCCTCGGCCACGACCACGGTTACCTCCACCGCCACCACGTCGGTAATTTCCACGGTCCATTTTCCAACTTCACTAAATAAAACAACTGTAACTTTTCAAAACAAAAAGTATATATGTGCTCCTTTTTAGTTGTCATATCTTGCTTATATAGTGAAAGTAAACTTTGATCCACATTTATTAATTTTCAAATATCATTTTCGCTTGAAATTTTTATTCACTTTTTTTAAAATTTTACAATTCTTATGTCCAAACGCCCATTAAATATGGTATATAGAGTAGAAACAAAAGAATATTAAATGGAATAAGGCCGAATAAACTCCTGTACTTATTTCAATTTGACATCTCGCCCCCTACGTCACTTGTTTTCATCTAGACAATTCTACTTGATAAAAAGCTTATTGTCTTAAATCCCTTTGACCGTTAATCAAAGTTATGTAGTATTTATTTTGTTGAGTCAGATAAAGTGTGTGGCTCCACGCTTTTAAAAAAAGAGTGAATGCAATAATTTTGATTAAAAAATATTAAAATCAAAAGAAAACTAACAAAGAAAAGAAAAAGGAAATAATTTAAAATATTCCCCAACTCCTCCCCACCTACATCTTCTTTCCCGAAGCTTCGCCCTTCCGACCCCCCCCCCCCCCC